TCGAAATTTATTCGCGCGAATAAATTCTGCTATTCTGTCTTGCTTCAAACTTGATTTAAATAATAGTCGACTGTTGTAGGCTGTATCCGTTCAACATATCAACCGGACGATCAAGCTGTATTTAAATGACAGAAGGAAGCGAGTTTTCATCGTGCCAATCAAGTTAAAGGTACTTATTGTTGCTTCTAATACGTCTAAGACTAAAAGCAGTAGCGGCAGTGCTACTGAGAGCAAACCTGTCTTACTTCGAATATCTGAAGAACGGTCCACGGTTGGTATCCATATTTCGCAAATTTTCATAAAGGATGGTTTGAACATGTGTGTTCTGACTGCGAGCTGATTCTTCTTAATCCCGAGGGAATTGTCACTGCAATTTGGAGAAGCCATTTAGTACTCAGGCCCTATTGATCTTATTGACAGGCACCCATCCAACCTCTACACTTATGCACTCTTCTTGGGGTAGAACAATCGAACCTGATTACCCTTTCTTCTGAGATATAAAACTTCAACTATATTGCCAGACTGGCGATCACTCTTTTAAGTTCACAATGACAGCTGAGTGCATAAAATCTACGCGAAAACGTACATGCATGTCTGATTCTTTATAAATCAAACCTGTTGAGAAATGGTAGCCGTACAGCCTAAATGAGCGTAGGTGAGCTTTAAAATAGATAATAGTGGTAGAAAGATACTTCAGTGTATTTAGGTGTACATTACACAACGTAGGCTGAAGCACCATTGAGTAACCAATCGCGGTCGTTGGTCCATGGTTAAGTAGTTGCTGTTTTTGAATTCTACGTAGGGCAGTACTAAAGGGATGGCTATTGTGGCTTATACTCCATGACTTTAAAGTATATATTCCCGCCCTTTTCATTTCTCGAAATAATTGTAGGGGCTATGGATAGCTATGGGCATCATCGTTTCCATGCCACACCTATTGAACCAATTCATAAAAAGCGCAAAGTCGCAGATGATGATTAATTTAAATTCTGCATAATTTTGCACTTGGTTTCGCCGGTAATTTCTTGCGAAGCCTTTCATTACATGATTCGGAGAAGTGATTCAAATGAGAATAAAAATTTGAATCGACACGAACTGAAACTAAAGTCATAGACTGACATATGATCCAGTCTGTAGTAGTACTTAAAAATCGAGAAAATGTAACGCTAACAGGTTATCCTTGAGTATTTCTACTTTAAGGTGTTGTAGTGTTATAAATGGTCATTCTTTCAATTGCCTCAAATTTCTATTTACCTCAGAATTCATTTTGATTTTGTCATGTAAAGAAAGAGCCCAGAGCATAATCTTTTCGAATAAAAACTAAATATTTTGGCGTCCGTCGAGATATTGTGGTCGATAAGAGTAAAAAAAGGAGTAATATCAGGTTTGTGAACTTGGACTGCGTAGAACTGCCCACTGTGTTATATAACCATTAGCAATGCTAAATGTCAAGGCCTTGTTTAGGTAGCAATATAATCAAACAAATCTGAACCGTATTTTGCGCTTGTCAGTACTCCAGCATAATATGTTAAAGCTTATTGGCCGTTATAAAACAGGGAAAAGTTTATGAGTTTCAAACTTTGAAGGCGGAATGAAAATAAGCCTAATTCCCCACGTGCAAAATGCCTATTTGATAATATCTAGACACATTTATGTGCAAATTGAAGCAAATGTTCGCATCCAAGGTAGAGTAGGAGAAGACGCGTCGTGAATAAATTGAGGACTGGACCTCGGATGAGAACTCAGTCAATCGATTTGTCGATCTGGCACTGGCATACATCGCCCTGCGCAGGCATCTCCGAACTGAATGCACTGGTGGTTGATTGGCCCCTGCCTCCTATAACTGTTGCTGTTATTTCGTTGATGCTTTAGCTCTGGCGATAGACTTCCTTATGAGTTCGAAAGTTCAGACGAATAAAATTATGATGCCGATGATTGACATGTTTTCTCCTTCTCTATCTATACATTTATATGCCGCACATGATACTTCTTTTGCTTTTACTATTTGTGAACATTGAACATCGGAAAGGGACAAGGCCGAACATCTACTGCAGGGCTAATGAAGACGCGTGCAAAGTCAAAAGAAGACACAACCTACTTCCGTATATTTACAACTGAAAAGCTGTACTGATTGGGGCGTTATTCTGAGCAGAAGGTGGAATGTGCGATGATGTAATAGAAAAATTAAAATGTGTCTGGGTGGGTATAACAGTCAGTATTGGCAGTTAGAAGCATGGGACAGCAATAATGTTGCTTTAATCCATCAAAAATTACCCAACTGTTGGAGGGCATTTTAAACACTGAAGGTCTTTGATCAATGTGATTAACCGAGGGTCTGAAGAATTTGCTGAGTCTTCTGTTTTGGAGGGCAGCATTAACTCTTCAGGTCGACTAAAGCCAACATCGAAGTACTGCTTTACAGACAGCGGAGAAAGTTTTTGGGTCTTCAGCGTACCTGAGAAAAAAAGTTCATTATTGTTATAAACAAATGAGTGCAAACAAATTTATTGATTAAATAACAGATTATTTATTGAATTAAGGTTTTGCAACACGCATGGACTTCATTTTTTTTAAAATAATATTGCAGACATGGTTATGTGTGTTGTGGTGTTCGGCGCTGAATTTAATTTATCTCGTCTGCTTTTCGGTGAGCAAATCCTTTTACGGAAAACAAGTTATTACACTGAGAGGGAACTCTAGCTGTGCAGCTCACGCGTATTTGTAAACGGCTGTAAATACCACGAAGTAGAGACGAACAACAGACTACATGGAGAGCCAAAAAGCCATTCCAATATATATGTCCAGTCGAAAGAAGCGATAAGCGAGTTCTAGGAAGCAGTTTAGAAGTAGAAGATGCGACCACTAGAGCATAAAGTTTATTTGCCTGACGTTTCGGATTCTGTTAACAACCCATCGTCCGTATTGAGATATTATCTAAGTAGAAGCATTAGTCAAGTGGGGAGGGTCGGTCTCAGCAACAGCTCCAACGACAGCGAACATAATTGTCGCGCCATTATCAAGCCCGCATCCAACAGAGACAACGAAATCGCGGCAATTAATGACTCGAAAGCGAACTGCCAAGCCACCGCACCAATTACGACCCCAAACGCTGGATACAGGTGGTGACAGTTATGGTGCGCATGCGGGTGGCCACTACAAACTAAAAATACTGCGTAATGTGTGCATATATCACATTACTCTGTATATGCATCACACTATTTTACGATTACCACTGATGGAGGGTTATCAACAGAACCCGAAACGTCAGGCAAACAAACTTTATGTCCCAGCGATTGTATGTGCTACTTCTGAACAGTTTCAGTAGTAAATAACATTGCTATCCGTGAATTATATCAGATAACTTTCATGCAGAAAGTGTTTTTTATCAGTTTAATTATATATTTCAAACGTCCGACTACCTGAAGTTTCAGGGCAAGACATGAATACTTGTCTTCGTCATGCGGTCGGTGTAGATCGGCCAGCATCACTTTCAAGTGACTGAACCCAGTAGCTCAAGTGGATAGAGTGTTGGACTTAAAGTGCGAAATGCCTCACTATACCCGAGTGTATACCTCAAGTGTGCTTTACTTTGAGTTCGATATTAACAGGCCAATGACAATTAATAAGCCAAAAATAGTAGTTACCTGTTGGCAACAAAGCTTGATAAGTACTATCCCATTTGTTAGTTCACTCTTGGACACCCTCGATTCAAGTAAATGTTCGAAATCTCGTTTGCTTAACCACTCTGTGTTTACTTAGGGCCGGTCCTTTTCGACCCTCATTAGGCAATCCAAATGAGGCTCAATAGCTATGGTTCCCGAGAAGCTTTTATTAACTTTTTCAAACTTTTAATAACTAAGGTTATTCATTAAGAGGACACCAGAGCCAAAATTCTATGAAGAAATGTAGTTATGATCGGTACTTCTAGCTTACCAGAAATATTTAAAATAATATCCGAGGAACATTCTCTAGACGGCAGATCCTGAGGAAGACTATGGTTTTCCATTGTCATTTCCGTCTCCTCTAGGAGGATGAAGCCACGACAGTCTTCATCCTCCTCCTCATCCTCAAGCTTTCCATCGCCGAAATTTGACAGGCGATGGTGTGACGTAACATCGTTCTTGAAGTAGGCATTTCGCTCCATGTGAGCATCCAGAATTGACTCCGGGTGGTTCCAGTGTTGATCTTTGGAGCAGCGCCAGAACTCGAGGAGGCAGTGTGGCAGCTTTGCATGTCGCAGGGCTTTGTGAAGCTAGAATGCACGCCAAGAGAGACCAAGATAGTTGCTTCATGAGGTTGCATAATTTTACTTAAGCGCTTAACAGCAAACTAAAAAGAAAGCTTATATCGCAACCAAAGCTCCATAGTTGGCGGTGACTAGGAGGGCAGTCCATGTCGAATTCTTGGGGACGCGAACCTTCACAGACAAAAGCAAATAAGAACCATGAGCAGCTTTTGGTCACGACAGCGTCCTGAATGCTGAGGGACAAAAGGTCAATTTCTGGCCACTTCTCTGAGAGCTTTTGAAACTCGCAACCTGAGTATTCTGCCTTTCTTACAGTGTCAACACTGCATTTTGTTGTACCAGGATTCAATTTCCCCTTATCACCTGCCCCTATTACTCACCTCAATGGCAGGTCTTCGTGGGCTTATATGTTCCCGGCACGAGTACTAGTCAGCCGGGAATCAATTAACATATTTTAATAGCGACTGCCTGTTGATAGCGTGTGAATACTGAGCGATCCTTTTACTGAAGTTAGCAGGGCCTAACTAAAACATTTCTATCGAACTTCCGGTGCCGTCACTTATTCCTGTGATGTAGGTTGTATTGGTCAAACGAGCAAGCACCCAGCCATACAGATGACAGAGGGCACTAATATGCTCGGTGCAATCAAAACATGGTAGACTTCTTTTAGTTGACCCAATTGTGAAAAAACTCGCGGCATTCGGCGGGATTCGAACAAAGGGAAGGCCTTCTACGCAAGCTAACACTCTACCTACTTAAGCTACGAATGCCATGCTTCACACCGTGAGTTTAATCACACTTGGATCGATATTACCCGCCTAACTTTGCCGCTCGTATGGCATCCACCAATACGGGACAGCAAGTTGACTACCCAAGCAGGATTTCCAGGATTCGCACCCCAAGTAGGTAGAGCGTTGGCTTGCGCAGAAGGCCTTCCTTTTTATGCGGGTTCTAATCCCGTCGAATGCCGCGAGTTTTTTCACAATTGGGTCAGCTAAGTTAACCAAATCTGCCAAACCTTTATAATACTGGAAGACTTCGTCACTAGCGCAACTGTGACTCAAATAGTTGGTATCGCTTACCAAACAGCCATCTACGAAACATGCAGGAACATCGAAGATGCCAGAGAGACTGCCATTTTCTATGCCAGTGTACACGTGCAACGTCGGACGGTGGGGATACTTTAAAAAAATTTGGTAATGAGTTCGCCGAATGCGTCTGCTCCAGTTTTCCGCTCCAAGGGTGACCGAAAACAATCTTGATCGCATTCTGTTGCATCCAACGCCCTCACAATAGCCTGAATACATCTTGCTAACTCTTTTCTCTGACTTCTGATCTGAGAACCAGATAATAGTTCCTCCTTTCGCCTTCTTTAGCAAAAATGAATGCCTCTCAAACTTCCGCCCCGTCATCTTCCTCATTCCTTTCTATTTAATGTGCAGGTGTAACGATCAACAAGTGAGGATGCACATTTGACGACTATGGTTTCGACAAAAACTAAATGCGTATCATTGCAGGACTTGAATCCTACAACGCTTTTGAAGTCGCCGGACATTTTGGTCGATTTTGCATGTTTCGGCTGCCTGGACCGTTCTTTTAGCACCACAAAGGATAGAGAGATAAATGGCAGTTATTTTGTCTTCCCGGACTTGAGGTTCAAAAAGCCTAGCAGGGGGCAGCTTTAGCTGTTGCTACTGCCGCTGCTTATTTATACCTGTCATTGCAGCACCGGTGGAGTTAGCATGACTCAAGCCCATGATTATGAATCGTATATTCTATGAAATTTAACTTCTGGCTTCCGTGCCGTCTTTTAGGAAACTAGAAGCTGAAGAAGCCATCACTGGAGCAAGAAGTTTATTTGCTCGACATTTCGGATTCTGCCGAGAACCCTTCGTCAGAGGTAACCGTAGGATAGGGTGGTACATGCACAGATAAGGGTACTATATACACAGGTTACGCAGTATTTTTACTTCGTAGTGGCCACGCGGTCGCATGCGCACTATAACTATCAGCTACCCTAACCACCACCGGAGCTGATGGCTAAGCAGTCCGTTTCCTAGTCATTAATTGCCGCATTTTTCGTCACTTGTGTTGGATGCGGGCTTGAAACTTGTGCAACTGTTATATTCGCTACCGTCTGAGTTGTTGCTAGGTCCGGCCCTCCCCCATGTGACTGATTCTCCTGTTCAGGCAATGGCTCAGTGCGGAGTATGGCAACGGCAATGCGTTTGTGCTTGTTGCTTGACTGTGGGCCTGAGAACAGTGACTCGAGCAGCTCGCGGCTCACGCGGTTTTCACCTCTTACGAGGAGTTCAGCCTCGTTATACTTGAAAGTATCGCCGGGTTCCGTCAAGTGAGTTGCAACCTGGGATTTGGCGTCTTTCCTCCTCACAGCTGCTGTGTGCTCGACCATTCGCATCCAGAGTAACCTTCCGGTTTCTCCAACGTAGTTGCTCTGTCCACAACTGAATCAGATCTGGCGAAAGGACTCAAGCCATTTCCTGCCGTGGCAGTGGGTCTTTCGGTCTCATCACCCGGCGCCTGATGGGTGCTCCTGGCCTGTGTGCGATGCGTGCATGAATGTATGTATCACCGTATTCTACGATTACCTCTGAGAAAGGGTTCTCGGCAGAATCCGAAATGTCAGGCAACTAAACTTCTTGTTCCATTGATTCCATCTTATACTCGTGAACTGTTTCCTGGAACTCGCATATTTGCTTCTAACGGAAACCCGAACTACTTGTACTTCCCAATATTCAGCATATCTGCATGCCACCCGTCCGCCCGTCCGCCAGCCATTAACGCAAAAACATTTACAGTATATCAGGGCTCCCGAGTTTTTCTTTACGGAAGTTTTACTGAACATCCGCTTGTCTTCATTCAGCCGGACTAACCAAGCTGAGTAGTGGTCTATGGAGTACAAATGTATGGGCACTACAGGCCGGAGTCACTTATATATAGTTGGCAATGCACAGAGAAGTCCTCTTTTCGGCCTCCAAAGTCAACATCTTCCGTCTTATTGAGTACTACAGTCAGCAATCTAAGTCCTAGAATACCATTTAAACAGGAGACATACCTTTCTCCGATCAGCGTTTTTCATTCGAGCATCACGGTCACCGGAGAAGGGGGGTTCGTTCAGCCTGCTTAACTCTAATGGGTAGCGGTTGATCCTGCAAGGTAGGTTTCGATCCGGTCTTTGTTTTGAACTGCAAAGCATGTGGGGCCTGAATGTCGTATCAGCTTGGGCGGCTTCAGGCAAGTTTGGCAGACTTCTAGACCTTGCTGGTTCAGCCCCACGATCCCGGGAGTAGCGATGACTGAGAATAAAACAAGCATATGATTACTTTTACTGACGCACATTTCCAGACACGTTTAAGAAAAGCAAACTGTTATGGGAGTCATAAAAATATAAACCTTTGCTCTTGGCGAAATAAAAACAAGAAAGTTAACAGTAAAATTAATCAAACTGATTCAGCAAATTATGTTCAAAATTTCCAGGCTTTTTTCATCTGGGAGAACAGCCTACCAATTCAACAGTTATGTAATTTGTCGGAAAATGCAACGTTTTATTCAGCTGTATGAATGAGAATTCGGACATATAATTGTTCTGACCGCCGTCCATATATTCTTTCTTCTGGGGTTTATAATGTAAATCATTGTGACTCCGAAACCAAGGAGCTGAAAGCCTTTATACACAGAAAAATTCCTAAATGGAAGAAAAATCAGGAATGAATATTATTGACACGAAAATTCTGCTCAACCGCAATTGTGCCGAAGGTCATGCTCACTGGTAGTATAGGCAGATAGTATTGGCGGCAAATACAAGGGAGAATAGGTAACTTAACCCCTTCAGAATAACTTCCGTCAGCCATGAAAATTCTGGGATTAGGCTGATTTTATTACGCCTTATTCTATTTATACGGAAAATTGTTAAGCCTTGAATCTGCTTTTAAGGATTAGTCCCAGACTCTGTACTTTGGAGTGTTTTTTAAAAATTTTCCTTATAAAACATTTGGATTGACAGGATGGTTTTCCGACGATAAACGCCAAACCAATGTTCGAGGCTACTTCTTATTCCTTACTGATATGTCGGAAGCCAAGTTTAGGGGCTGATGCAGCTCTTTTTCTGATATAAGCGCCATGATAGGGTGAAAATGGCAAAAATACATCACCAATCCAATCACCTCTTCTGCCAAAGATTGAGTCTCTCCTAATCTTTTTATATAAATAATAGTAAAAAACGAGACTCGAAACGTTTCAACCTACAGATCAAATGAATTTGTTGTGACAAAGTGATCCACCTATCTGCCACACTTTTCTGTGGAGTGTCTTTAGACGATTGCAATTTTATGCCCTTCCTAAAGATTCACAGGTTGTCCTCAAAAAACGAAGTTGATTCGCGTTAATCATGCTAACTTTTGCAGCTTTCACGATGGAAACTACATTTAAGACTACGTCTTGCGGAAAATTTTGCAAAGTCCACTCCTGTGTCTGCGGTTAACACCCACAATTTCGACAGTGGCGAGACTAGCAATGCAGATTGGGGGGAGGGTGGACCTTACATTAATGTTTGTTTTACGCGTCTGACTGTCTTAGGAGGACAGACTAGGTGAACCAAATATGTTGCATTTAGGACAGACCAAGGGGGAGGGCGGGCCACCTTTTCGTCACAATCGCCCTCCTGCTGACTAATTTTATTTGTAGTTAATGGGCGAGGGTAATCAATTGTGCATAAATATTTCCTGGGGTAAATTACACTTCATTGGCATGGGCGTTTGCACAGAAAAATCTCGTTTTGACCTGTAACTACAGCAATCGTTATTGTCTTAACAGCACTTCTCTCTTTCGCTCTGCGGTTAAACGCCAGACAGCAAGGCTGATTTCATTACGCCTTGCTCCATTTATAAAGAAAACTGTTAATCGCTGAATCTGCTTTTTAGCATTAGTCCCAGACTCTGTGTTTTGAAGTCTATTTTTTTAAATTTTCCTAATAAAAATTTTGGATTGGCAGGATGGGTTTTTGACAATAAACGCCAAACCAATGTTCGGTGCTATTTCCCCTTCCCTACTTATATGTCGGAAGCGAACGTTATATGCTGACACCGCTCTTGTGTTGAATTAAGCGCCATGACAGCGTGAAAAGGTCAAAAATGCATCACTGACCCTATCACTCCTTTCGCCGAATATTGATCTTCTCTTTTCAAATTTTATATATAAATTATAGTAAAAAAACGAGATTAAAAACATTTGAACCTATAGATCAAATAAATCTGTTGTGAAAATGTCTTCGGCCTCTCTGCCACATATGCCACATTATTTTGCATTGTGTCGTTAGAGAATCGCAACTGCCTACCCTTCCTGGAGATTCAGAGGTAGTCTGCTAAGACGAACTTGTTTCGCATTAATCATACTAACGTTTGCAGCTTTCGCAAAAAAAATGCGTCTTACGGGAGATTTTGCAAAGTCCACACGTTGTTTGTGGTTAACTCCCACAATTTCGACAGTGGCAAGACTAACAATGCAGGGGTTGGGGGCGTGGGGGCGGGCCTTACATTAATGTTTCTTTAATGCGCCTGACTGTCTAACGTATGTTGCATTTTGGGGCAGAGCAAGGGAGGGGACGAGCTACCTTTTCGTGACAATTGCTCTCTCCTGCTGACTGATTTTACTAGCAGTTAATGGGGGAGGGCAATCAAATGTCCATAAATATTTCCTGGGGTGGATTACACTTCATTGGCATGGGCGTTTGCGTAGACCAATTTCGTTTTGACCTCCAACCAGCGCAATCGTTCTCGTCCTCACAGCATTTCTCTCTCTCTCGCTCTGCGGTTAGACACCAGACAGCACAGCCAGCGATTAGTAGCTGGTGAGCTTGGTAGGGGGCGTGCACACGGCCTTCGGCAGTTTGTCCGCTACTATGGATAGACGGGAGAAGAAAAAAAGAGAGACATTTTGTGGGCTCGAATGCCACTTGAAT